TCGGGTTTCAGCAGAGATGGGCACGCAGAGGTCTCATGTTCCCTGGGGCTGCGCTGGTGGCAGAGCCCTCCCAGGGAGACCTGTGGGCAAGCGGGCACGGATGCCAGCCCTGTCCCCACACTGCCATCGGCCCCGGGGTTACCGCCAGCATCGCTGCTGGGCACGGGGTGACCCCTCAGCCTGGGGTCCTCGGTCAGTCCCCTGGACTGCTACTGGGGATGGGGTGACCCCCAGCTTGGGGTCCTTGCTCAGCCCCCAGGACCGCTGCAGGGCACAGGGTGACCCCCAGCCTGGGGTCCCTGGTCAGCCCCCAGAGCCACCGTGGACACAGGGGTGTGGGGACAGAGCTGGGACAACAGCCCGAACCTCGGGGGAGTCCCTGGGCATCACCCCCCCAGGGAGGCTGACCCCAGCAGGGCAGGCACACGAAGCGGGGACCCCCACATCCTCCCACCTCCCTCCCCCCGAACACCCTCCACCCCCTCCGGGGCAGCCCTGGGAGCCCGGGCGCTGGGAGCAGAACCAGCCCGACCCCGCGGGAGCAGAGCCTGCCCTTCCCCCGCCTCCAGCACACACAGACGTGGCTTTCCCCCTGACCTGCCTGCCTAAAATTAGCACCCCAAACCTGTTTTTAAACCTATGGCATTTCTCTCTCCCGCCCTCCATCTCCCAGCCAAGCAAAGGCAGTGCCATCGTCCTGCTTCCCTCGGGGGCAGCAGGAACCCAGAAGGACAAATCCGGCTGCCCAGTGGCACGGGCGGGCACCTCACCTTTGGGGTGAAGGCACTGGGGTGCACCCCCATGCACACAGGGACACCGGCAGCGGCGGGGAGGGGTGAGACAACCTGCCCAGCGCACAGCTGGAGAGCCCCTCTGGATAGACCCTCCCCAAAGAGACCTGCTGGAGACCCTCATGAGATAGCCCCACCAGAGATCTTCACTGGAGAGCCCCACCAGAGACCCTCGTGAGATAACCCCACTTGACAACCGTGCCGGTCAGCCTCACTCATGGTCCCAGCCCAAGCTGGGCATCACGGTCACTGCTCCTGGGCTCAGGTAGCCCATGGGTGATCTGGGGTTTCAGCCCCAAATACCGCACCATGGCTCAGCCTCCAGCCAGGCGGTCCCCCCGGTGCTCCGGCCAGGGCAGAACTGGCAGAAGCAAGAAGGAGCAGGTCTTGAAGCCACTGTCCCGGCTGGCAGGGCTCTGGTGGCACCTGCTCCAGGCTGTCCCCACTGCACCGTGCGGGGAGCAGTGTCCACCCAGGGTCTTCTCTCAAAGAGCACAAGTGGCACCCGTGTCCCCGGGAAAGGCTCTGCCCAAGCTCAGGGAGGTGCCCGCAGGCAGAGCGTGCCGGTGGCCAGGCTGGCTCGTGGCCACTGATCCCAGCACCGTCCCGCAGCAGTGGATGTATGAGGGTCTTGGGACACACCGGGGAGAGGGGAAGCACCATGGGGAAGGAGGTGGCAGAGCAGAACATCACAGTTGGGGACTGGAGGGGGTGGTTCCAGTGCCGGA